GTTAAAACCTTGTCAAGAAAACAAGTGGGACAAAACTTGATCGAAGGAAAAAGAGTACAACCACTCCAATCTTTTCTCATCATCATGAGGAATCATAGTAGTCCTTATTATACCATGAATATGCCTCGTTAAAACCTTATTAGGAAAAACCCAGTGGGACAAAATCCTAATGAAGGAAAAAGAGTACACTATTCATGTGAATACGTCATCCTTGTTGCCTCATTAAAAACCTTGCTAGGAAAACCCAATGGGACAAAACCTCAGCCAAGGGAAAAAGAGTACAACGCGTATTCCATATATTCACCATAATAACTTTTCCATAATTTTTATGAATATCATATAGATTCATTCAGATTTTTCGATACTGGTGGTATTTATGATAATATGCCATATCATGCTTTTGTGCAACTTTCATTCTTAAACTCATTCTAATCATCAATCGATTTCAAATGGTCTTACTGTCAATAGTTCCCTATATTCACATTTCAGTTGATTTCATTCTCATCAATATCATTTATATAGCGCTATTCATCTGTTTGTGTCGACACATATTCATTTCCATTATTCCCGTAATATATTGAGATATCTCATTATCAATTAATTTCATCGATAGTATATATATGCCTCCTTTCATCACTTATTTGGGGAATTTCAATTTGCACAATACCAACGCTTCCAGCGTATCTTTTCACCATCATATCATTTCATATATTTCACCACCATCAGTATCATTCAGTTTATGATTTGCACACTTTCAGTGTGATGCATATATCATTTTCAAAATTTCAATAATTGATTCTCCCCCTCATCTTAACAGATCCCTGATTTGTATTTTCAGTATTGAGTTTCTTGAGGGAAGTTCATACAATCTCCATTTCATTCTCGATTTCAACATATAATAAGAGGACTTTGAACTCATATCACTTGTAATGTGCACATTTTTTTATGAGTTCATCATATGAGCTAATTATATTACTAGCTTAATCACTTTCATATGATACTTATTTTCATTCTTTCATAGCCATCTTGTGTCATTCTTTGATAAAACCATCTCGTAACTTCTGGTTACGTGTCATATACACATTCTTTGATCAAATTATCTCGTAACTTCAGGTTACGGATCACACACATGTGGCTATCTAGTGGATCCATAATATCTAGTAGCACACATGGAGGGGTAGTGGGCCCATATATATCGTACCCCTTTTATACTCAGTTTGATCAAAAATCGATTCACAAATATTTAGCCAGTAATAATTTCACCAATCGAGAACAAAGTATCTCATATCACAAAGAATCAATTAATCATTCAAACTATCATCATTTATATCAGTAAACATCACAATAATTCATTGTGACCCATTAAACATATCACATCATCTTTCGGCGAAAATAAATGCACTTCAAGTGCAGATTATGACCCACAATTTTTAAATTCAGAATCGTA